TTAAAAGAAGATTTCTCTCTATATTCAACTTAAAAGGTCTGTTTATAACATTTTAGCTCACAGCTACTTTACTTAATACTGTATTGAATATGATACTTTTCTCATTATTTTATTTGCTTTAAAATTCTACTTCGTATTGTACATGTGGTCACGTCGAAAACGTGTTTAATCTTTCAAATAAAAAAATGAAACAATTTGATCCTTTTAGCAGCTTTCGGAAACTTGTTTGGCTCCTGAGCTAACGCTAGCTTCACGTTAGCTAGCGGCAGGCTCACACACGTTGTGGGACACGTAAATGTAAGTGTAGTGTAGGGACACTTATTTCAACCCTTTACAGCCCCTCCGGCTGGGAAGCCATTTGCCTGGTTCAACACCTGGGAGCATGACCTGAAGGGCGACCGCCGCCATTCACCGGCTGTGCGACGTCTTTTAGGAGGTGTGACACTTGTCACCGCGGCTACTCGGGGACCGGAGACAGTGGAGCGGCATCCTCGCAGAGCAACAGAACTTTAGGCAACCCCAGCACGAGCCGTTATCAAAGTCATTCCACTAATGCAGAATATACGGAATTCAACAAATGATGTAAGAAAAGCCAAATAATGGAAGCCTGCGATTTTAAAATATATATGCTAGCTGCCCCCTCGTTAAATGTTCCATAGCAACTCCCTTGCTTTTTTAAATCAACAAATAAGGTGTATTGCGTGATAATACACATTGTATTATTAGATTAGATTGTTATTGATGGAAGCTGGTGAATGTGGAGCTAATTCCAATCTATTTACATTTTTCTTCATATTGATATTATATATATATAATATATATATTGATAATTTCCTCTAGACGGGTACAAATACCATGATATATTTAGTGATTATTTTTTGTATTGTTAATCTATAATCCATATATATATTCGCCTGTACCAAGCAGGGTAACGTTAGGTAACGTTTAGCTAACGTCACATTTCATCCCACTGGCTTGGGGAAGTTATCAACGTCGCATTGCTCTGTGCTCAGTGAGCCGCCCCGACTCGATGCGACTCCATCGTTGTTGGGTTTATACGAAGAATTGTCAGCAAATGGAATGCCCTTATCCCTGGCACCGTGGGAACATTCCACCATTCCCATTACGAGAGGTTCATTACCCTCATTTAAAGAAAGATCATCAAAAACACCACCCGGGGGCTCCGAGCTCCACGTTCTCGCCCTGACTAATACACAAAACGATACGGGTGCATTAAATCCCGCAGTGCCCACTTCCTTCCCACAGGAAGTCTGAGGGACGAACCTGTGCTCAGACGCCCCGCCGACACTGGATTGTTTTAAAGTGAATCCCCGATGGGAGCCAAAGACAGATGAGCTTCAGGGAGGTGAAGGTACAGCGTCAGAATGAATAGAGTTTTTGTGAGAGGGAAGCGGTTAGCGAAGACGTCGCTTACACGTTGTATTCCTTTAATTAGCACAAGCGCTGCCGTGTGAATGATCTCATTAACCTCATGACTGGGGGGGGGTCTCAAATCAGAGCAGTGAACCCAGACTATGACTACAGGGTTAGGCAGATTAGGCGTGGGATTACACCCATCTGCACTGCCGACGTCTAGGAAAGGAAGCCGCAGAGGGAGGAGGGAGGGAACTAAGTATGACAAAGGAGCGTCTTGGTCAGAGTGAGACGATTTGAACAAAACACCTGCAAAGTTTTGAGGAGATCTGTACTTCATGCGCTGGTCTGTAGTTGTCTTATCACAGATGGATGGACGGACAGAAAGGCAGATTGGATTTTACTACAGACTCTAGAAACACAATCAGAGCTGTGCAAAAACAGATTAATGATGGACAAAATATTGTGAGAGATAATCCCTCATTCCTACACAAAGGATTTCATTTTTTTTCTGGTCAAAACATCGGTTAACCCCTTCAGCCAGCTCCGACGGACGGTGGGAATTTGAAATGGGACCAAAATGTGGGTGAAAACAGGGAGGGGGAGACCGCCCGAGAAAAATCGCACATGCATATATTAATATACACACACTCCTTTCCTACAACCACACTACTGGTTCTATTGTTATGTCCTACCATGTCCAACCACAAATATATATGTACATATACACATATATATATATATATATATGTGTATATGTATGTATGTCTGTATATATATATATATATATATATATATATATATATATATATATATATATATATACACACACATATGTATACACATATGTATATATACACACATATAAATATATATATATATGTGTGTGTATATATGTTGATATATATATATACACATATATATATAAACACACACATAGACATATGTACATACATATACACACAGACAGAAATATATAAATGTATAATATATAGTATTGATTTCCTGGCTCTGGCTGTGCAGATCGATCCTCCAAACACGCGCGCACACACACGCGCACATAAACGCACACGGACACACACAAACCACCTTTACTACCTCATCGATCCCTCCTTCACCCGCTCACACAAATACACACGGGAAACACAACCGACGTACCTTGGCCGTTTGTTTCCCCTCAAATATTAGCGGTGACGGGAACCGCGTCGGGCCGGCAGATAATGGGTCGGTCACGGCCGGGTTATTATCGAGCCCTCGGCGCGTCCTCCGTGAGTACCCCGGTAGAAACCTTCGCAGTCGTCGTGCGCGAGGCGGATTCCCACTGCCCGCGATCTCCCATTCATTACCGGGTTCTCGGGAGCGGCTCTGGCTACACGCGGGGCCGATATCACTGACCGATATTCTCCTTCCGCCGGCGAGCACAAGCTGGACGGCAGCAGCTCCGGTAGACGCGAGTCTCCTCCGGTCGACGGGGAGGCGCTGCGTTGTTCACGGCAGGGGCGTGGCCAACGGGCTCAACGTGCTTCTGCGCGTGTGAGCGTGATGCTGCTGCGGACAACAACAGAGCGCCGCGGCCGCCCAGCAGCTGTCACCGTGAAGCGGTGCCCGCGTGCGGGAGGACATCTAGCGGCCAGAAGACAACTCGCAGCCAGTATTCTCAGCGAGGACCGAGGGCGCGAGCGCGAGAGTACGTGGGCGAGTCGAGCGCGAATAGAAAGCAGGTCGTGACAGGAGTGAGGTGGAGTAAAGGGGAAGGAAATAAAAAAAACATTGATTGTTAACGTCAACATCAACAACACAACAAAAAAAACAACTGATCCCTCTGAAACAGTACTGTTTGTACAAACCGGGATGTTATTATTTCATTCAAAAGAAGGCGATTGTATCAAATCTCTTGTTTTGTCCCATTACCAATAAAAAAACTAAAGGGAGTCAATGATTTCAGGTCATTCTACTTCCATAGCCGTCCTGGCGCTGTACCCTGGCATCCCATCATCCACTCCCCCTCACAGTTCGGCTATGCAGAGCCAACCGTTCAACATGGCCCCTTCATCTTCGGGCCTCTGGACTGCTCGGGAACCTACGCGATCGCCATCCTGTCTGAGGACCTCAACTTTGCCACAAGCCCTCTCATATATATGACTTAATCCTGTGGTGCCTGAGAGGATTGTCTACATCCAAGGTCGATTACCACCACTTAGGCTTTGCTTAGACCTACGAGGGGCCCTTTAGGACTTATTAGGTATTGAGACACACTCACACGTACTAATGGAACATTCACTATTGAAACGCTCTCAGACACACTACTGAGACACTCTCACATACATTACAGGTCTTTTAGCTGACGCTTTTATCCAAGGCGACTTACATTGGATTTTTAACCCATTGCTTTTTACCTTTTTTGCCCAGGGAGCAATTAGGGGTTAGCTGTCTTGCTCAGGGACACTTCGACATGGGACTTGGGGCAGCCGGGACTCGAACCACCAACCTTGCAGTTCCAAGCACACCCTGTCTACCCCTGGGCCACATCGACCCCATACATACATATATACATACTCTGTAAACCTATGCACGGATATAAAACATACATACTCATCTGAAATACTTACATATGACATTTACATACATATGAGAAACACACACATACATGTATACTTCTGTGTCATATACACATACATATGCTAACATGCATAACAAGTTAAACATTTATACCTATCTGTTGGAAATTCATGCACACATAAAAATATATAAAAAGTTTAGATACATGTGATGATACATGATAATGTTTTGCATATATTTGCATAAACGTCTTTGCGGTTATCTGAATGTATGCTACTACACAAGAATGTGCAAGCATTTATACAAGTCATTTCAGTAGTGGCCGTGAGAGCGTTTCAGTAGTCAGTGTAAGAGCATTTCAGTAGTACATATGTGTAGTGTTTGCGTTGTGTGGGTTTATACACCAGACCTTACACAGTTTGATTCATATCCACGGGCGTTTATTCTCCGACTCTGGCTTACACGTTACTGTCTGCGTACTTCCTGCTCACGTGTCTTGCGCGTCTTTATCTGCAGGTGACGTGGTTACGTCATGAACATCACAATATGAATGAAATCTTACTCGCACATGGAAGGTACCTCATTTACACCGGAATCAAAGAGTGCAGGTTGTAAACAGAGAAAAAAAGGCCAATTTTACGCCCTTCCTAAATGTGGGTTTAAGACTGGACTTGTTCTCTAGTGGACTTATGAAAGGTCATCAGTCGCAGCCTGAGTGCTGTTCCAATTAAAGTCTGCATCTCGTGGAGAACCGTCATGATACCCGGATGTGACTCTCCCCGCCCATTTTACCGAGAATGCATCAGAGCAGATCTGTCCATTTCTGTGAGAGCCAAAGTTAACGCGTTAATCTATGATATCATGGTGGCTGAGATTCATGGGATAAAATATTTTAACGCAATTAACACAACTTTGTGTGTAGACCTCTGACCCCTGTTGTGGGAGGGGTAGTTAAGTCCTAAATGACCCCTCATACCCCTGTATTAGTATGTTAATCTTCCTTTTATAAATTTCAGCACAGAACATTTTATTAATTGCTTTTGGGACGTAAATAAGATTTCAACAAATGAAAAAAAATGTATTTATGAGAAACATTTCCATCCATAGTCCTAAACGGTTAATGGTAATAAAAATAGTTTCCTTTCCTTTTTCTGTCCATTTTTGTCCAATCAATTAATTCATGCAAATAGTTGCAGCTGGAGTTGTGACTTACATACATCTGCCATAAATACTCACTGGTGCTCCAATGATTTATTAATCCACATCTGAAAATAGTTCACTAACAATACACTTTTGTAATCCTATTGGGTAATGTTTGGAAAAAAGAAGTTTGGAGCTCAGCTGTTTTAGGAAATTACTGAATCTTTAAATTATACGAGACCAAGATACCAAAATAATAAAATTAGACCATATAAAAGTGTGTCTTTCACTTATCTAAAACGAAAACTCCGGTCCGCTGGGAGTCCCAATTATTGACCAGTTTAAATATGCACACAAACTGGTCTGGGAGTGTAATGATGACATGTTATTATTAACACAATGTAAAGGGTACAAATCTCCAGGGAAATCTATCAAAATGTGAATAGTTTTTTAAATGTATGAAATAAATGAATGCTTGTTCAGTAAACCAATGTCGAATAGAAGTGTTCCCGAGTCATTGGTGGAGGTTGAAGAAGTCAGAAAGGTTCAAAGTGTGCCACGTCTTTGCTGTCACAACAGGGTAAACGTGTGCTCTCTCAAAGCCGTTGAAGTCCGTGGATGAACAAATAGAGTAAGCACCCATGTTGTCAACGAGAAGCCAGTCCCCCACACGCAGCTCAGGAATCCAGCACACGCCGGCCACTTTGTCGATGCTGTCGCAGGTCGGACCCCAGAGAACAGACCGGTATCTCTGCTCGCCGCTCTCAACAACCTGTGAAAAACAAACGTTGAGTGAAAAGTCGACACCACATTTTAAATCCCTCGCCGACGTCTGCTTTGGGACATCCCATCACTTTGTGGACTGTCGTCTTGAAGCCTTAATTGTGATATTTACCCTGTTCAGGTACGGCTCAACCTGGGTGTGGGCAGCATCATTGATCAGGCAACTCAGAGAGCCGTACACTCCGTCATTGAGATAGTACATCATTATTCTGTCAAGACCGTTGTTCACAGTGTCTGAAAGACAAAAGACAACGATGCAGTGCCTCATAGAGATGCTGGAAGTAATTCCAAATAGTTTTAATATAAATGCATTTATAAACGCTTCTTAATCCGTCCGCTGGGTTCTCTTGATGTAGTGGTGCACTGCCATGTGGCGCCATCACTCATCTCATTTTTCAATCACACATTGTTTCATTCTGTGTTAATACTGACTACATTTAGAGTAATATCTATCCATTACCGTTATGTTCATCCTTATGCTCCTCGATCACTCGCTTGGCAATGACGTTCGCTGCCAGTGTGAAGGCTGAATCCACAAAGTAGCGGCCTGGTTCTGCAATGATCTGAACCCCACTGCCAGGCGGGAAGAACTCCTCCAGCGCTCCGTTAATAACTACTGAAAACTGGCAAACAAGAAAATCACGATGGCTGTACAGCAGATTCCACAGGCATCACCCCTCTGAATACGTCTCGGGCATTGCGCTGACACAGCATCACTGGAGGGAATACGCGGTAATGGATAATGGAGGCCGTAATTAATGTAACTTTTTACCTCTTCAAATGTGACTCGACAGTCTTCTCTCCCAGAGACTCCTCCACCAATATCCAAGAGACTCATCTGGAGGCCCAATGATTTCTGAAAAACACATCAGCCCACATTACATTACATGTCATTTAGCCGATGCTTTTATCCAAAGCGACTTACAATAAGTGCATTCTCAGAAGAGCAAGAAACAAGAAAGTGCAATTTCCTCAAATAAGCCAATTTACAATTTGCTATAGATGAGTGGCGTTACAAGTACAATAAAAGTGCTACAATTTGTACAAGAACTACATGCTTGTGCTTTAGGTGTGTAGTTTACAACACCTGCCAACAGGAAGCTTTCTCAAAGGAAAATAAAGAAAAACAGAACAGTATGCATTGAGAAATACATTTATAGATCCACACACACAGAAAAAGTGTGTGTATAGTGTTTTTTTATATTTTCCCCCTGTAGGAAAATAAATCCCCTCTGGCAAAATCAATCAAAGCTATCTAGATCCACACACAAGAGAGACAGGCAAATAAAAGAGTAATCAGAGAATTATACATAAGTCAGATGACTTGTGACTGGAGCAGCATTGACGATGAGACGCTTTGTTGAGATGTGTAGCATCTCAGTCCCAGCAACCCTCATCATTGGCTCTACCTCTGTGTACCTCTGTGTAGTTTCACAATGTTCCGTTTCTGTGACCAGGACTCACCGCAATGTCGAAGACACGTCTAGCATCTCCAATGGCCTGCTTGAACGCCAGACTTCCAGTGCAGCCGCTGCCTACATGAAAGCTGACCCCAATGACCTCCAAGCCAAGCTCTGCAGCACGTCCCAGCAGCTTACCAACCGACTCCAGTCGGGCGCCAAACTTTAAACTGAGTCTTATCTTGGAGGCGGAGTCGTCCACCGCGATGCGGAGTACCAATCTGGAAGAAGTGATTCAAAAGAGTGAATTGCTACGCTAACAATAATCTACACTGGACAAAGGAGCGAAAAGCAGTTGTTCACTCACTTGGCTTTGGCGTGACAAAGAGATATTTTGAGGAGTTCGTCCTCGCTATCAAACGTCATCGTATCGACTCCGTGAGTACAGGCATATTTGATGTGCGACAGCGGTTTGGTGGTGTGTGCGTAAATGATTCTGTCGGGTTTCACTCCGAGCGACAGCACCATCTGCATCTCCACCTGTGACCGACCAAAGCACTTTCAAATGAGCAAAGTGCTTTTTCTGCAACAAAGAAACAGAGCTGGATTCTCTTTGAAGCACTTCGTGGGTACCTTGCTAGCACAGTCGAAACCGGCGTCCAGGGCCCTCATCATCCTCAGAACGGCTGCATCGTGGTTGCACTTCACGGCGTAGAAAGGCTTGACTCGGGGCAAGTTTGTACGCCACCTGAGGTGCCTTTCAAATATACTATCCAGGTTTGCCACATAGAACGGCTCTTCCTTCTCCTAAACAAAGAGAAGGATCAACACCATTTATTAAATGGCACGTCTCAAAAAACCTGTGGCCATTATGTTCACCTTACTATCTGTATGCTTGCTGCCCCATAGGCTGTTATGCGCATTAAAATCTCCACACCATATTTCTTTCCTGTATACACTCCCTGCCATTTCTTTCAATCAACAGGATCAACACCATTTATTAAATGGCACGTCTCAAAAAAACTCAACTGTCACACGATAAATGAACACAATGACACAGAGCTCCATCATGAGGAAAACATCAGGAACATGATGTCTCTGATACTCACCGCTAAAACAAACTCCTTTATTTTATGGTCTAGGAAATCTCTGACGGTCGTTACATGTCCTAAAATGTCAATGCCACAGACATCACGGGACAGAACGTGCACAACGGATCCCCTCTTAGCTTCTGGTTGCAGGAAGAGAGAAAAGCATGAAATGAATGAACAAATATTGGTAATGAAAGGCTGGATGACAATAGAAAGCAGCTGTCTTTGTCTGTAGCCAACGCAGTAAGCATACATGCATATTAGCATCAGAGATCAAATTAAAAGTCTTACTGTGGCCAAAATGCGGTTCCATTTGTTGCATCCAGAGTTTTTTAAATCGACTTGTCGTTATTGCGAACATCCTGAACGAGGTCTGAAAGTAAGTAATAATAATAAAGCCAAATGTGGTGAAAATGAATGAATCTCCCTGTGAGGAACAGACGCAGCGTGTCGTTGCTCTGGGCGCTGATGGTCCCACATTTGCTTAATATAAACTAGATACCTTGTATCAGCTCCACATTATTTTGTCTGCCCCCCCTTTACAGGCACATACCGGTCCTTGATGGGTGTTGCTGTTTTCATGGAAGAGGCTTGTTTCATGAGCTCAGGATGCCACTAATCAGATATCAGATATACATTGGTTATTTGGATTTGGTAACTTCTGCTTTTGCAACATCTGTATATCTTTAGAGTTAAGTGATGACACATAACATGACATGACACAAAACTCAGGGACTCGGCACAAGGATTCTCTGCCAATTTCTCCCTTTATGCACATCTTTAATCAAGGAGGAGGCAGTGGAAGAACCACTGGAGGCAATGGCAAAATAAATCTCTTGAGATGAGGATGAATAAATGAGTAAAAGTGACAATCTTTGGAAGGTGGTAGTCTGCCGGAGGAGAGGAGGTTTCACCTTCGATAGTGTAGGAAAAGTTGGTGTAATAGATTAAAAGCAGTGGAATGCACATTGGTTGTGTCCTCTTGTACAAGTTGTACAACACTTTTCGGATGTGTTCAATCTTTTAACAGAAAGGCCTTAAGCACCTGACACATGAGGCTGGTGAGCTGCTGGCCTCTAAACACATTCATAGCTCATGTTATCCGCTGTGTTAAATGCTTCTAGTCTACTCTTACTCTGAGGTGTACACAAGAATTATGCTACTTAGTTTTACTGTAATCCAATAAAATGATAATTCAATGAAAATTATGTCACCTGTGACAAAAAAAAAAAACATACAAAAATGGATCTACCTTTACAATAAAATCAGATATTTCCATCTGTGTCGAGAGCTGAAAAGAGAAGGCTTTTTTGTTCAAATATATCGCTGATGTTTTATAATTTGCAATGTGTGTATTGGGGTCTGATGTTGAGCCTCCCACTGGTCAAAGCAGATTGTGAGCCTCTCTTATCAAATGTGTGGGAGGCACACATAGTTTCCAGCTGTTGCCCACCTGTGCTGCCTGGCCCACGTCCTCTCCTATGTCCTCTCCCACGTCCTCGCCTCCTCCGCCTGTTGTGGCCGGATACATTGTCAGCAGGTCATCAAGTGACCAAACGTAATCTTGGTTTGTTGAACTGCTCCTCAGCGTGTTCAGATTCTTGCAATATGGACTTGTCATTCATGTAACACATCTTGCTTTAGGCAGATTTTCTTTTGTCTGATTTGTGCCAGGTTCATTGATGGTGGCAAAACCTTCTCATGGAGTTTGATCGCTTTAAGCATCACCACTAACGCCGATGTTTTGCATGTTTTTGGAAAAGTGTCGTAATTCACTGACCTTCGACCTGTTAATCTGCCGCTCTTAACTTGGAGGAAAAGAGCGTACCACACGCTATAATATTACTAATACCTCTTTCACTTCATCTCACTTATTACCACCACTACTCACACCTGCACTTTACATATACTTATATACCTACACTTCTTACCTCAATTGCTGCTATTCTTGTCCCAAATACTGTTCATATTGCATATTCTTTTCTTACTGTACATATCTATTTATTCACTTATTACACTTTACATATGCACATATTCTGTTTGCTATTTTGCACTTCTGGTTGGATGCTAAACTGCATTTCGCTGCCTCAGTACTTTCTCTGTACAATGACAATAAAGTTGAATCTAATCTCTAATCTAAAAACCACACGCTATAAACATGTGTCTAATGAATCCGAGGCCTTTAAATAAACGTTGTGTTATTTTTGCCTGTTGGACCTAGCTTTAATATATTATTTTATTATTTGAAAGTCATTCAGTTACAGAAATAATGATAAGAAATCAATTGTTACATTCTAGGAACAATGGCATCGGGGTCCTCTGTAGAAGGCTAGCAAAGCATATGAACATGTATGTTTGGAGAACATCTGTTTCCAGATGAGTGATGTTGGCCTTGGCGTTGGCGGGTTCTGGTGTTTCAACTCATCCCGACTCCACCTACCCAGACATGCAAACGTCCACCGGCCAAAATACACCTTTGGGGAAAAAATAAAATTTGCACTAAAAACAACTACATGAGTCATAATGTCTCTTTGTCCCTCCGCTGTGAAACAATCTATGGTTTCTTCCGTTCACTGGTTACAATCAAGGTACCACATGCAGGGACACCAGCCAGCGGCCCAGAGGGTCGTCACAGAAGAGAACCGGAAATGAAGCTGGGAATGTTCGGCTACTCCAAACCCTAGAAAAATGATAGTGGTTTGTGTTCAGAACATAAGGTAACAATGTAACACAATCGCTGTAGTCAACAGCAACAAGATTTCAAATGCGTTCGCACAATAAACTAAGTACCTTGCTTTGTGTGTCACTCGTTGAACCTTGTCCCTGTCGGACCGAATGGAACAATGTATCCGTGGTTTGCAGAAACGTTCAGTCACTTTTACAAATGTTTTGTACTCATAGTTTTATATATTTTTCTTCAATTGTTTTACACTTCATTGCTACTCTTAGAGAAAAAAATACATTTTAAAGAAATTTATTGCAGAACATAACGACGCATCCGCAGAAATCGCGGTTGAAATGAATTAGTAGGGTGGTGTAATGTGAGGGACGGACGCTGTGTTGCTCTTAAATACCATGGCAGTCCATTTGATAAAAGTCAAAACATTACTCTGCTCCAAAGTAAAAATACTTACAATACAATGCTTTAATTTCTGCATACAGAGTCATTCCATGTTCTCAGGCTGATCAGTTTTCATTTTCTTTTGAAATTGACTGAAACACAAGACGCATTAATTAGATTAAGCATAACATTTACTTTAAGCATTTGTCATTGTTGTGTGTGTAAGAAATAACCCGGTCACCAGGAAAAAATGATGACCTTTGGACAGAAGATAGTTAAAAACCTTAATAGGAAAAACAAATCTACCAACATTTAAGCCAGTCGGGTGTTGCTCTGTCATTAGCATGGCTGCAGGTCACGTTGGGTATTTATTAATCCTCAGTGCTGACCTACAATACAACTCAATACAAGGACCTACTGTATAGATGTACACATAAGGCCAGCAAACCATGAGATACTTAAAAGAAGCGATCACAAAGACTGCAGGGTTCCATAAATGTTCTGCGTGGCGACTGCGCTCACCCACGGAGAATCCGATGCAGATAGCGACATCGGCAATCGCATAAACTGTAGAATATGCCGGCACATATCTCGGGTCTACCAAGTTACCCATAAGAGGCATTATTGAAGAGTCCACCACACCTGGTAGAAACACAATAATTATTAATTTGTTCAACTAGCAAGAAGTGAATTAGTTAAAAGGCCAATATTAGCAATTACTTACCAACAGAAAAAGCCGACACTCGCATTCAGAACAAGCACATGATAGATGTTCGTGGAAAATCCAAACTGAAATTTAAAGGACATTAAAAGTAGAACATTCACCACTCATATCTGGTTACTTTTCTTCTTTATCGTTTTTTTGGATGCCTTATTGCTTTGTGCCTACAAACAGGTTTATGCAAATAATAAGGTAATCATCAAGTATACAAAGTTTTAATACAATCACAGAGACGTTAGGGCATAAGTGTAGTGTAGAAAGTGTAGACACATTTAATAATACATTATACTATTAAGAACAGCAAAGGCGTATGACATATTGAAATATAGAACATATTTTAAAAATGAAGTGTGCATTTCAGTCTACATTTCATTTGTTGCTGGGTAGCATAATAGGAGGGGAAGACACTACGTGTAGACATAGAACAGTCTAGTCAAATGATAATGTGGTATTCGTATTTTTTTTCCACTTGTAGGTGCCAGCAGATGCTCATGGTGGTATTTTAATGCTCTTATGGTATTTTAATAAAGTGTTAATATTTACTAAATCTTTGAAACTCACAGAAATGGTAGCTATGCCTGCCAGGATCATTCCAACACAAGCACATAGCCAGCTGTGGGAAGATACAAACAACATAGTACTATGGGTATTTTTGGCAGCAAAACAACAACAAAAACCTTGATCAACAGGCCCCTTTACCGTCGGACAACATACCCTACGCTGTATTTTTGGGACAGGAGACCAACGATGTTCGATGCAATCAGGTAAGATATTGTTACGTACAGTGCTATAAGGAAATAGGTCTACAGATATGGTGTTCTTTTTTTGTGTTGTTGGTTTGTGTTTTTGTCTCCCCCTTCTGTTTCCATTCTCTCACTTCACAGATGTGCACACCTGGTTCCCCTCATCCAATCACCACACCTGTTCCAGATCTCCCATCAACCATTCCTCTTTATATAGTCAATGTTTGTTTTCAGTAGAGGAGGGCTATTTTGTGTTGAGCTGGGCTCTCGGTTGGAAGAGCACTGTCTTGTGGTAGTTGTGGTAATATCTTTTGGTGGTGTGCACAGGGTCAATGAGGACAGGTAAGATACTCCGGGGTTTACATATTGCATACACGTAGGTGTACCTGTTGTTAGTACCCTAGGCTAGAGTGAGCACCACCCACTGTACTTTTGGGTGCTAAGCACCGGTCAATGAGAGGGGGGGGGGTTGTTTATGTTCTTTTCTTTGGTGCCACTGAAAGTCCTTGTTGATCCCTGTGTTGCTCTTTTGCAAAATAAATACTTTTTTGTTACATTTTGTGTGGTGGATTTTGTGTGGCTGGCGCCTCACTTGCTTTGACCTGTTGCGCTCCAGGTTGAGCCACCAGGGAGCGTAACAGATATGCTGTCTGTCAAGAAGACTGTTCCTGACACAAAGATACAGTCTGACATCGTAGGATATGAACTTAATAACACATGCCGGTTGTGTACGGTGAAATCACGCATATGCTCTACAGCTGAGGATTATGTTGAATGACTGGTGGAGAGCCTCAACTAAACCCCTTAAATACCTAGCTGCCATTTGCTTGCACACATGGTCTTCATCATCCAGACAGGAAGGGCTGCCTCTATTGTGGCAATAACCAGAGTTGCCAAACATATGGCTCCTGGAAAGCAGAGCAAATACAAATTTGGTGAGGTTGGAAACACTGAGTTAAACCTGGATCAATAACTTTAAACTTAGTTACAATAACTTTTTATTTTGAAAAAATATTGAAGTTGCATACTTTTAAATAACATCATTGTTTATTGTGCCCAAGTCACTCCAAACCTCAATGATCTGCTTCTAGTTCTAACACAGCACTTTTAGAAAAAATTGCAAAATTTTGGGGAATATAAATTGCACAAAACAACCTCATTGATCTGTATCGATCAGCTTAGAGTAGGGGTATCGAATACATCGATCGCCATCAGCGATGGTTGGGAGAAAGACACCTGACTTATCTTCCACCATTACATTTTCTTTGCCAATTCAAACTATCAAAGATGAACTACTTTGTCGATCTGTACATTATATCATATTTAATATTTAACATAATTTGTTCCTGTCACGATAAAGGGGAACCCCTGAGTGTGTTCTGTGTGAAAATCAGTTTGTTTATTAAAAACAAAAATAATTTGTGAATTGCCTGAAATAAAATCACTAACAGCCCTCTAAGTCCTATAAAACATGGAGATACCAGGCTAAAAGAACATCGATGGGATAGCCCAACGTGTTGACAGTACATATAAAGTTTTAAGTTGATAGAGTGAGGTGTTAGTGAAGAAAGAAACAGGAGCAGTCAAAATGTGGCAGGCTGATTTGCCCTTTTCAATCACTTTTTCGAATTGACTTACCCTATTGGATCCAACTAATCCCACACGGAAATGATTGACAGCTTCCTTAGCCGCTCAGAAGCCGAAATGGGTACAGCCTAAAGTAACGCTGGGGTGTGAAGATTGGCTTGAACCCCAACCAATAAAACCTGCACGGAAAGCACTGAAATTGCTTGTGGTGCACAAAGAATGGCAGATGCATGTCTCACGCTCAAAAATAAACTATATTTATAAGTTAGAATTTTTTTCAAAACGCAAAGGGTAATTTTTTATTCATATCCTGGATGCTTGGTGCCAATCTGAGAGAAATCATGCTTATATGAGCTTGTTTTGAGGCGGTTACGTACTCCTTGAGACATCTCCAATTGTCCTTTATTTTGTTAGTTAGTGACACCATCAAATGATCTTAATACATGTCTCTTCCATGCTCGCCCTGTCACGTTCACCTTCCTCCCACGCTCACGGCCAAAAAACTATTTAGCTCCCCACCAACACAAACACCTGTGTCAGGTAATCCACCTGATTATATTGACCTTGCGGCCTAATTGAAACACAACCTCCCACCACCGAGGGGGTGGAGCCAACAATCAGACAATAACAAAAAGGGCAATTTACAATTTGTTAGCTTCTTGCTTCGCTGAGGAAATGTTTTAAATGCATCGCCCTCCGCACATTTTCTGAAGTGTTTTCAAATGTATTAGTACTTACTGCCAAGACTCACCAAATGGGAGAACCTCGAGTGTAACATGACCTTTAATCCCGCCTCCCTGCCCCAGGTCTTCACTTCGTCATATTAAAGGACGAAAGAAAAAAACTGGATTCGAATATCAGAATTTTTTCTAACTTTTAAGAATTATTCGAATAAGGGCTAGTCACGTGTTTTTATGGGTAGATTTTCCTAGTAAAAATGTCTTTGTTAAAGACGTCTTTTTCCCCAATGTAAATTTGTCGCAAAAAAGTCTTTGAGGATAACAAGAAATTGTGATTCCATCGTTTGCTCACTATGTAGAATGGGCTTCAGGTCGTTGTGTTCTACCGTGGAGTTCGATCGACATAAAAACTGTCATTTGTACTTTCTACTATTCAAAATACCAGCGGCAATGAGAATGTACGGATCCTTCTTCAAATATCTTTGACTTAATTGTAATGTCACTGTACCTCTGTTTGCGCCATGGACGTTTTAACGATGAGGGCGTGTAGACCTGTGTGGATAGAGAGACAATCTGATGGACAAATCACACCACATTCAAGCGTTTCACTCTTTGAGCTGGATTATTTGTTCCATCTTAAATGTGCAACATCCTACAGTACCTCCAGCCAACAAGGCAATGACAGCCACGACTAAGAACGGAGCCATTTTGCCAACAAACTTCCAAATGGAGCTCCCGCTACACAATATGAAAGAGATCATTACAATTGAATTACAATGTAAAAGTTAAACAATAGTAGAAGCATAATCAGAGGAGTTTACATTCAATAATAAAATGTTTTATTTCACTCCGAATGTCATTTACTATTCTAAGAAAACAGTTTAGAGCTACGTGCTCTTTCATAAATAATAATAAATCCATAGTTAAAGGCTGGTGCTTTGCAAATTAAGTCGTGCAAGTCACTGCATTTATACTTTCCAGCACATATTTCATAATAAAAGCCTTGAGGTTTACAAATGAAGGGGTTCTGACAATGGAAAGATTGTAGAGGGCTTCAACTTTAAAGCAGAAACTGGAAGTTTTAAGTTGAAAATGAATATTATTTTTTTATCTTTCGTAAATGTGCATTTTATATATCAAGCACATTTAAAATGCTTTCATTCAAAAGCTTTTTATTCTCAGTGGACAATGCTGTACATACCTATTAATCCTAAAGCCAATCCAGTGAACGATATTCGCATTGCTCGCCCTCTTTCCTTATTGTCTTTGTACGCATCCGCCAGCATGTCCATCCCTGAAAAACCAAAGTAACACTACTACCAGTAATAATAGCATTTGTGGGACTAAAACGAAGTTGTAGGTGTGTTTTTTGTGGATTCAAGTCAAATGTAAATATTGAAATATAAACATATCTGACCTGCCACGGACAAGGAGCCTCCCACACCTTGCACCGATCGGGCCAGCAGCAGTAAGATGAAGCTGGATGAAAAGGCAAATACTTCCATGGAGTACAATTTAGATTAGCAACACACACAAAAATAACCGTCTCCTATTTTTGTAGACGGTATCACATGTTTCTTTCTGTTCAAAAACAAAATACAAGACGTCCAGATCCCTTTTCATCCAGGCCCCCCCGTTGACACCGTTTTATGGACAGCAATGTATGCGAACGTTACCATGACGTCTCAGTTGGCGATATTACTTTTCCATTAGAATAAGGAAATTAAACTTTTCTGGTTCATACGTCTGCCAGTTATTCGAAACTGAGCGCACTCAAAATGCAATACTTACAGGTAGCGGAAAAGACAATAATGCAGAAACCGGCACACATTGGGATGTGATATCCAATCCTGTACAATGAGGGCAAAGGGAGTCATGTATAACTCAATGAAAGTCGGTTTCTGTCTCAAACGTCAAAGTGACTCCTTGTCAGAAAGTGAAGGGGTTAATGATGAGCTGTATGGTCGACTTGGAGGCCAACAGCAGTCCTACTTTGATGTTGACTTCATCCAGATGACCATGTGTGTATGAGCAGTTGGACTTTAATTTAAGGGCCCAAGTGGGATCACTAGGGGGAACTGGGGTCCAGTTTGGAGGTGAAAATGTGGAGTCCAAAGTCAATGACTGGTTGATGGTAGGATTCAATGTCAGGTCGATGATGTTCCCTGGAGTGGTTGTGGCAGCCTGACTAGTGCTGTACAGGTGACTTGGAAGGATTGGCACTAAAATACATCCAAAACTGAATATTCAAGCATTTTAAATCAAATGTGATATAAAGCAATGAGAATTGTAGTCTTACCAAAACAAATGTCAGTGAAAAAAACTGTCAAATTTAAATACATACTTTTTTCAAATCCTGGGATCAGCTCCGACTAAAGATATTTGTAAAAATAAAAGAATTGTATTATAGTTCAATTTAAAAGTAAAATCTGTATATATATATATATATATATATATATATATATATATACAGATATATATAATATATTAGCCACCTGCCGACGCATAAACAATAATAATTTCTCCAATTTAGTCTTTTTTACTACATTTTACTACCCTTCTGCCGTTCCTCTTTATAAGCAATGCTACATTTTTTATAATTTATTGTAGGTGTATTTGTATTTGCTATAACAATTTACCTTAATGATGAGATGACAGAGGCTACTTTGAATAGGCACATAGTAGTAGAAGGAATAGTAGTATAGTACACATTTGGGCATGAGGGCATTAATGTGCCTGAAGCAAATATCACGGGACATTTAAGCAGCAATACTTCAAAATCATGTTTAGTCGTCCACATGCCCCCATTGGTTGGTTAAGTGTTGATTTGTGTGAAAACAGGCTGTATGTTTAAACCTACCAACCACTGACAATAACATATGATCCACGAACAAGGCGAGAAAGACGATGAGAAGGATCGTCCTCTGCAGCTGGGCCTCTTGTCTCAGCCAGGTTAGTAAGTCTGGGTTAGACAAGAAACGCTATTTATCTTTGTAACATAAATTTCCATGTCACTGTTGAAAAACGCTCAATTGGAAATAGTCATTTATAGAAGTATGTGATGTATTAATGTCCACTATGAATCCAGTTTTCTTGCATCCGTGGGCAAACTTTAAGTAACACCCACGCATTTCCGTTTTAAATTGGATTAGAATATGGAGTATAAAACACTTCAACACAATCAATTTCATACCATTTTTGCAAAAAGAAAACAACAGACAGACACGTCAATAAAAACAGCCTAGACAGAAAAAGTATGAGAAAATTAGTGATGTGACGTTCGTGTCGAGGCTTCGAAGCTTGTGTCGAGTAATCCAGGACGATTTTTATGAAGCGCGAATCGAGGCTTGTGTTGATGACTCATCTATGCTCAGGCATTATAGAGCCCTGCATGAGAACTAGGAGACCAACCAAGGTGAACCAAACCTTGGACGTGGAGAACCCCCTGGAGTATTGGGAAGAACATAACAAAAATAAAAAAAATGTGTATCCAAACTCGTATAAGTACCCCAGCTTCATCTGTGCCCTGTGAAAGTGGGTTTTCTAAAGCAGGTGAAATACTCTCACAAAAAAAAGACACCGCCTGAAGCCCAGCAGTGTGGAAAAGTTGTCACAAACTCAAAGGTCCATTCATATTTGGCCGTGGCTCAATGGGTAGATAGGATTACACAGTAATTGCAAGGTTGATGGTTCAATTCTTGAATGTTTTTTTGTATCATAAAGACAGACACCATATTAATACGTCCATAAGTTATGTATCACGTATCACAAACATCATTCATTTATCCAATTCAATGCTTCACACATCAAAGCCATGGTGTCATTTCATTTATTGTCCACTTGATGGCGCAGTACAGCACCATGAAGCTTCAGCCCATGTGTGACAATTGGATGGAAAGCTTCAATGCTTCATAAAGCTTCATCTCGCCATCGAGATAGAGAAAATATAGTAGATGGAACTTACCCATATTTTCAGTTTCCACAAAAAGTTTAGTGTGTGACAAACTTGGACAGTGTGCAGTCTGCCAGCAGCTTAAGCGGTAGTTCTTCTTCTTCTTTTTCTTTTGATCTTTATGGCGGTTGGCAAACAGCTTTCGGGCGCATTACCGCTACCCACTGATCTGGAGTGTAGATTTAAGAAAATTAAACCTCTACTAGAACTAAACCAAATCAAAACCAAATTAAAAAAAACAACAAAAAAACAACAACTCTCAAATCCTATTCATTAGTCTTGTATTCTCTAAATATGCCAAAAGGATGGCTGATTGATATGTCCTTGTAGACTGGCCCAATATGTCATCATTATCTGTGTCCTTCTCAATTCCAACGACATTTCCCCCATTTCCATCTGCAATGCACTGATGTTGTTTTAAAGGCCCCACTACATAGTCTTAATGCTTTTTCCTGTATTACATCTAATTTTCCCAACATGGTTTTAGACGCCGACCTGTAAGCCACACACTCATAGTCTATTACTGATCTGATCAGTCCCATACATATAGCTTTTAAAGCAGCCCTGTCAGCTCCCCATTCTGTTCCCACCAAGCATCTCATTACATTTAAAACCTTTTTACATTTATTAACCACTTTCTCAATATGTCCCTTCCAGGTGAGCTTCGTATCCATTAAGCTGTAGTTCTAGAAAGAAGACTCCCTTTATGCCACGCGTAATTTAGATATCGTACAGCTGGTCTCCAGAATTATCCAATCAGAGATTGGCTGCACCCAGGTGTTTACGACCAACAGAGGCGGCGCTGTGGCTCTAAACCAATCACATAGTTGCTGTCAAACTAAAACAGGGTTCTCTCTGTGTTGCTGTCAGGTGACAGGGCGATGCCGGAAAAAGCGGAAGTGAAAACGCGGTAGGATCACTGGTTGAGCAAGTTATCTGGCGGACCTGCATAAACTGTACTGTGACTGTATATCATGTCAACTAGTTCAGATGGAGATGAAATGGATTGGGCGATACCCAAAACAGAGAGATGGAAAAGGGCTTTAAAAACAAGAAATAGAGGGAAAAGTTGGAAAAGAAAAGTGATAGAATCAAGGCTATTGTGGAGGCAGCAGAAAGAATTATTGATATAGATGTTGAAGCAGACCAGATACATGAATTGTTAACAACACTTGGAAACGGGGAAAATACACAAACTGAGGGTTAGAACACTAATTATGGTAATGCACATACTACAGTGGAACACCAGAAGCCTCACTGGTCAAGAATTTCAAAAATATATTTATGAATTGGATGTAGTTCCAGATGTAGTATGTGTACAAGAAACTTGGTTACAACCACATTTGGACTTTGTTATACCAGGGTTTAGTTCTATAAGATATGGTAGACTTAACAATCAAAATGGTGGAGGGTGTGATACCTTTCTCAAGGATGGGCTGGCATTTAGAGACTGGACTCCGGTTTCGACTGTGCTAGCAAGATCCCCCTGAAGTGCTTCAAAGAGAATCACGCTCTGTTTCTTTGTTGCAGAAAAGCACTTTGCTCATTTGAAAGGCGCTTTGGTCGGTCACAGGTGGAGATGCAGATGGTGCTGCTGACGTTTGCTAGCGAGGAGGAACTCTTCAAAATATCTCTTTGTCACGCCAAAGCCAAGTGAGTGAACAACTGCTTTTCGCTCATTTGTCCAGTGTAGATTATTGTTAGCGTAGCAATTCACTCTTTTGAATCACTTCTTCCAGATTGGTACTCCGCATCGCGGTGGACGACTCCGCCTCCAAGATAAGACTCCGTTTCAAGTTTGGCGCCCGACTGGAGTTGGTTGGTGAGCTGCTGGGCCCACATTACTCACTGGCAGGCAAGTTTGATCAAATTGTTTTTTAGTTAATAATTTTTAGTTTATTTTTACTATTCAAATGTATTTAAGAAAATATATTAATATCAATTTGATTTGTTTTTGACTGGTGTGTGTGTGTGTTTAATTTTGTTTTCCTAATAAAATTGAACTGTTGAAGTGAATTGTAGAAATACTCCTTCTGGAACGTAATTGGTTGCTATGGTTACTAGGGGTTCCGACTGGACGACTCTCTGGGCGGCGGCGGGTTCTTTGCTAGCTAGCTGCTTTTTTAGCTACTGATTAACATCGCCACAATAATGGCTAAACAAGTGTCTTTAATGTGTTATTTTGAAAAAGCAAGAGTTGAGGGAGAAGACTCGCCACTGCCTCCATCTACCGAGTCCACCCAGCACAGTTCTTTGGACTCATTAGCCCACAAGAAGCCTAGTCAGGTGCCCGTGGCGGCCGCTGCTTGCTCCGTGGCAGTGCCGGTGCTCTCTCCCGGTCAGCCTGACGCGGGTTTTCCCGCCGATCTAACCGCAATTGATGAACCACCTTCACAACCCAATTTGAAGGTATTTCCCTGCACTGTCAAGAATGGAAAATCAAGGAGCTTCTCATCAAAGTGCACGGACAGTTTCCTTGGTTGGAGTACAGTGTGATCAAGGACGCGATTTTCTGTAAAATGTGCAGACATTTTCCAAGCGCAGCTGACAGCCCATTTGCGACAGAGCGACTGGAGCTCCAAATCCGGAGCAGTGAGCGAAGTACTGACGTTTCTCGATGTAATATTAGAAGTGCTTGCTGAATATGCTGAAAGCAGTGGCCACTCGAAGGTTGAGGCGCAGTCACTGTTGCAACAAATACAAACAAAAAAGTTCTTATTTTTACTCGTCACATTTGGAAAGTTATTTCAGACGAGCGATTTTGCCACACGTGGTTTACAAAGCCCAACATTGTCAGTTTCTGAGTGCATCGATATTATTGAGGGACTAAAAGAGAGCTCTGCTCGGTTTAGAGACAATTCAGGGTGTGATTTTGAGCAAGTAATGAAGCTGAAGAGTTGATGCGGAAACATTTAATCACAGCTGGGACCAGAGTGAGAAAGCTCCCTGCGAGGGTTGCAGGATCAGTGGTCACAACTAGTTTGGGGAAAGCAACAAGTGTGAGAAATAATGATGGCTTAAGACACATATGGAACGACATCCTTGACAGACAGCTGGCAGAGCTGGACAATCGTTTCCAAGAGGATCACTATGGAATAATGAGGGCAGCAGCAACTTTTCTCCCACAGTCTAAGACTTTTGCAATGAAGGATTCTCTGCGGCCCCGTGTGATGACTTTCATATATTGGCTGAGGACGAAGTGATTTAACTATGCGGTGTGTTGTATAGCTGTACTGTCTGCCTTATAGGCCACATTGTTTAGTTTAAAGGAGTTGCTATTCCTATTGATTGCATTGTATATGGTTGATTTAACAGAATTTAGGGAGTGTGTTGTTATTTATTTCAAACCGTGCTCTGCTGAGAGTTTTTATTATTTTGATTTAATTTCTTTTACTTTTAGCCTACTCTTATTTTCGGGGAACTGTCTCTGCACTGCTGACTAGCCTGAATAAAATGGACAGGTTATTGTGTATGCTGGTTTGTCTAGCCTTTATTGAGCTCTGCTAAATGATGTTTAGACAGTGTTTTGTTATTGTCTTTGCCGAATATTGCAAAATAAAGGTGTAACTGTTTTTGCAATTTAGCTATTCTCTTTTCTGCTCTCTAAGGTTTAATTATTATTTAAGTAATTTTTTTTCTACAAAAAACTGTAGGCCCACCCACTTTTTCACTGGCCCGCCCAAAATACAATTTCTGCCTACGCCCCTGGTCACAAGTCATCTGACTTACGTATAATTCTCTGATTACTCTTTTATTTGCCCGTCTCTTGTGTGTGAATCTAGATAGCTTTGATTTATTTTCCCATAGCAGGCGTTACATGTAAAGCAATACAGGGGGAAAATATAAAAAAACACTGAACACACTTTTTCTGTGTGTGTGTGTGTATCTATAAATGTATTTGTGAACGTATACTGTTCTGTTTTTCTTTATTTTCCTTCCTGTTGGCAGGTGTAAACTACACACCTAAAGCACGAGCATGTAGTTCTTCTGCATAATTGTGTGTCACAATTCTAATGACACTGTCATCACTGTCCATATCAAAAATAAAGTTTAAAAAAACTAACCAAACAATACAACAATTACGGTGTTATAGTCTTGTGATTGATTTTCCCAGAGGGGATAAATAGTCTTATTGCAGTGGCTAGATGTGTATCAGCACAAACTCATTTCATTGAATGGCTAGCATGTAATTCATCCGTGTATTTGGGTCAAGGTCCGTCTCTTAGTGACCCCTGCCCTAGACACTAGGTCCAAACTTCTAAAACCTTTATAGATGGTGCTTTATCAGACAGTGGAGCTCACATCCAGGACCTGGTCAAACCCTACATCTCGACCCGCACTCTGACGCTCTGCATCTGCCAAACTGCTTGTTGCTCCTCACTGAGAGCAAAACACTCGACTAGATCATGACTCTTTGCGGTTGAATGCACTTATTGTAAGTCACTTTGGATAAAAGCGTCCGCTAAATGACAACCTTTTTTTTCTGGGCATTGTGAGTATCAGGAAATCACACCGTATTTCACAGTGAACAAGGTTTCTTTCTTTTTTCGCGACAAAAAGAAGGAAACACCACATCTTTATTGAACTCTGTGTCTTTCATACTTTCCATTACTGCACCGTACATCAAAGAGAACAACACTGAAAACAGAGTCTGTACCTGAAAGGGGTGGTTGAGTGATGGATGCTGTGGTGAGACAAACAAACCGGCCACGACAGTGTGGACCAACCAAAACGCACAACTCGGCGTGAACCTGTTGCCATGTCCCCTTAAATCACCTGAAATCCTGCAGCGCTCATCAACGGCGACCACAACAGTCACCGCTGATGAGCGCCATCTCCGGCGGGCCTCCATTGCTGAAAAACCTGAACACAGATCACACGGTGGGGAAACGCATTTACTAAGTCTTCTAGTGGAGGAAAACAGTCGAGGAGTCGCTAGGATTCCCTGATGTGTCTGTGAGGGGGGGTGATGGTGAAGGAAGAACTCTTTATATTTGTAATGAGGAAATACAGTATATACACATGTACATTTAGGAAAATAACGTCTTGCATTAGTCCTTCCCTCCCTGCCATCATTTCTTTTTTATTTGCATATATATATATACACATATATGTGAATGAGAGATGCAGTGATTCTGCAAACTACACATGAGCTTTCACGAGGGTGGAGGCAGGTGGTGCACGTCCCTCTGCAGTCCTTGGTTTAGAGACCCGGGGTTTCCACCTTTAGGAAATGCTGTCCTGTCTGAATGAATAACATGCTGATCCTCTCAGCAAAGTTCAACAGCTCTTTTAACCTCCCTCCGGTGAGCCGCGTCGGTCCCTCGTCCATCCTGCGTTACTGCGGCCGTGGAGCTTCAGGGGGAGGGGGAGGAGGCGGGGCTCCGGCAATGCGAGGAAGCAGACTCCGGCGACGGACTCTGACGGCGGCTTCCGAGCTCTGATTCGTCCTCTTCTGTGCCTCCGGCGCAACCTTTCCCTCCTCCTGCTCCTTTCCCTCCCCCGGCTCCATGCCCCTCCAGCCCCTCAGAGTTCTCCAGCATTTCCTGGATGAGAGGCGGCATTGAGCCGGGTATTTCCATCTTCAGCGTGATCACTCGCTCTGCTCCTGTAGGAGAAGAGTTCAGGGTGAGGTCAAAGGTCATCGTGTGGGGTAAAGGGTTTACGAAAAGCCATTCCTCGTTTCTCATGCGTCTTCCTGCCAGAGCCCGGCTACACGCGTCCATGCCCACTAGGTATGGAATGCCGTTTTAGTCAAAATTAAATAAATGAATAAATACGTAAATACATGAAATATGCATTTGAAATACATCATGAAATAAATAAATGAGGCAATAAATACATAAATATTAAATACATTTAATTATTTCATGGTACTTTTATTTCATAATGCCGTTTTTCATTTCACGTTCTTATATGCAAATCAGGGGGCGTGGCTACATCTAACATTCAGAACAGACAACAGAGCCGTGTGCAAAAGAAGGCTGGCTAAGGGACGTGAGTGTTGATATAATGGAAGACATCGGTGGGCCCCGAGGTAGCATGCTAGCATTAGCAGATCAAATCGATCAACATGGGTTTTCTGCAGATACGATTTTGACACACATTGAGGGTTTTTTGGAAATACTAGGGCGGATAAGTGCTCTTCAAGATGTATACATAGACAACGAAGTTTTAAACTGTTTAAGACTGATTGAGCACCGCGTGCGTGTGGAAGAGGTCCAAGTTGAAGAAGTCAACATTAGCGCTGCATGGCGACAAGCTGGCTAACTTTGTGTTGTCTATCAACCCGAGAAATCCAATATCCAGAGGCGGGCGTCCAGCACCTGTGCTTGTAGTACCAGCGCTAATCTCACGTCCCTTAGCCAGCCTTCTTTTGCACACGGCTCTGTTGTCTGTTCTGAATGTTAGATGTAGCCACGCCCCCTGATTTGCATATAACAATGTGAAATGTAAAACGGCATTATGAAATAAAAGACTCTGGAAATGAAAAGTGGCATTATGAAATAAAAGTACCATGGAATAATTAAATGTATTTAATATTTATGTATTTATTGCCTCATTTATTTATTTCATGATGTATTTCAAATGCATATTTCATGTATTTATTCATTTATTTTGACTACTACTAGTTACACGTTTGCTGTCTTCTCAACATAAACTGCTGTCTTCACAGGAAACTCAGCTGTGTGTGGCAACAGAACCATTTGGTTTGGTTTAGTAAAAAGGTTGTTAAACACTTTTAGGTGCAAGTATATACCCTGAAATCCTTTGCTAGATTTAGGTATATATCCTTTAGGTTGAGGAAAAGATTGTGAAATATTGACTTGACCTGTGTGTGTGTGTGTGTGTGTGTGTGTGTGTGTGTGTCTCACCCTTCACACTGATGCTCCTGAGGTCAGTAATCTTCATCAGTATCTTGGGAAACATGCAAGGTTTTTCGGGCCTCCTCCTCCTCACGTAGATCTGTGCAGACGCATGAAGACATGGAGGAAAAGGATGAGTGTGTATGTATGAATATTAATTATATATATAAAAATATATGTGTAACAAGTATAATAGACCTGCAGTGGCAAACTGTGTGTGTGTGTGTGGCTACGGTTGGGCCTGCATCCTGACACTCATAATCATACTAATAATACGACTACTACTACTACTAATAATAATAATAATACCTTCAAGGCTTCAAGCATCGGCTCCTGGAGAACATCCACCTTGTCCGACTCCTCCAGATCCTGACGGTCTGCAGACACACAGCCACACATAGAACATGAATCCAAACACCGAAGCAACTTCTATCACATTCCTCCGTCGAACCAGGCGCAGTACCTCCGCAGAGCAGGCAGATGGCGCTGAGCAGCCCTGTCTCCGCGTCGTCCATCTCCAGCGGCAGCAGCTGGTTGGCGAAGGAGAACACCAGGTCCGTGAGCGGCCCGAAGCCGGCGTTGTGCATCTGTGTGCGGTTGAGGGTCAGACCGTCGGAGAAGGTCATGGTGTCCTTGTCTGGCGTGTAGCGGGTGCAGATCCTCAGAATCTGAAACACGGGGCAGAGGCTCGGCTGTGACGCTGCGGTAACGCTCGGCCTCCCCTCGGGGGCCCGGGCGGAGGCCGGTGTGTGGCGGCGGTGACTCTCACCAGTATGTCCAGGCAGGCGGCTTTGAGCAGGGTGATCTGGTCGGCGATGGTCAGCGTGGTGAAGCCGGGCAGCTGCTTGGCGAACTCCACCGTCTTGATGATGCACTTGGTGGACAACTCGCTGAACTTGTCCCAGAGACTGACGTCCAGAGCCACGCGGTGCTCCGAGCTGTCGCTCTGATGGGCCGGTAGGGAAAACAAGGCGGAGTTATTAATGCTAGTAGGGGGAACTTTCCTCAATCGAGGCAAATAAAGGATAAAGAATCAGTCTCCTCTCCTCACGTGTAGCTCGTACACCTCAACACTGTTTCATGACCAGTTCCTCTCAGTAACTAAGAATATCTGCCTGCGTGTCTTTAAGCATGCGCGTTGCCGATGTACCGTGGTGTATTTTCCCAGCTGACCGAGGGAGGGAAAGGTTGCCTGGTGGGCCCGGCGGACCCCTTCGATCATCTGCTCGGTGTCTGCCGACAGGACGTAGATCTCCGTCTCCCCCTGCCTCTTGTCCTCCTTCTTCTTCTTCATGCGGTCGTTTCGCACCACTGTTGGGTGGGAGTGAAGAAAGATCGGGACATTCAGCTCGCAAGCACAAGCAGAACATTTAGGTCACTGAGGGGAGTGAAGCGACACCTCCTGTCGTGTGTGTTTGATGCTTCTCACCGGCCTCTGGTTTACTGTCCCAGGACAAAGAGGACAAGGCGCCGGGCACAGAGGGTCGAATGAAAAGACATTACTTCAAGAGAATATACAGAAGAGTACATCTCTGGATTGAGATTAAAAGGGGCTATTGGAAGGCAGTGCTGGGGGGTTCGTGGGTTGTCTCTCGGCTGAGAAAGGCCACCAGATGGAGGCAAATGTCAATCAGTGTAAACACCGCAAGTGCATTTGGTTCTGCCTTTTCTAGCACACGGCAACAAAACTGAACTGGCTCACCGCTGAAATCATAAATGTTATTTTTCCCCTCACATCTTCATGGCTTTTGGAAGAGTTTCAGAGTTTTGGAGGTAATGTGTGACCTCCATGTGTGACCTAATGTGTGATGTAATCACGGCCGTGACCTGGCAGGTAATCCGCAGACCTGAGAGGCTTCACAAACATGTGGTCCCGTCGCATCAGAATCAGATATCTATACATAGATATGCAACTCACACCCTAAACATCTACAGAGTATGTGTATTTTTTACAAATTATTTTCCTCTAAACGGCCCCGCCTCTGCGTTACTGTACTCACGCTCTTTGGACATGCCGACCTCGAGGCATTTCTGCAGCCGGCAGGACTGGCACCGGTTCCTCGTCACCTTGTTTATCACACACACTTTGTCTCGGTGACACGTGTACACCATGTTCTTTTGGATGCTTCTCCGAAAGAAACCCTGCAGAAGTAAAGAAATGTCCGAGGTGAACGGAAGGCAACATTTGGAGGTGCAACAGGACAGGAACAGGAGCGGGATATAAACGTTTCGGTTCCACAGCAACAAGCGCTCGCTGTTTATCGCTCAGTGAGTGTTGTTGAAAGGACGTGAACACCAGCGCACAAAAGCCCACACACAGATATCAAAGAGGATACTAATTGCATGCACAGATTATTTGTGTAACTGAACTGTGTGTGTGTGTGTGTGTGGTCAGGATTAGATGGCAAAGAGGCTTACAGATCCCAAGGGAGGTGCAAAGGTCGCGACCTCTCCGCTTACACAAATACTCGGTAGCCTCACGGAACTACTTTTCATTCAGGTTTTTCTATCCGGGGCCCGGATGCGTTCCATAAGTAGCAAGGCACGCGGCGGGGGGGAGGGGAGGGGAGGAATAACAGCAAATTATTTTAATTGAAATACATTTAAACGTTTCCGCTTAAAAGAAGTCAAGAATGTGGCAGTTTGTCAGACTTGGTTGTTTTCTGCTGGCGATCTGGTTCTCTGTTCAGAAATGGACTATTATTGGGGCCCAAATGAACCCAAAAGGCGGCGGACAAAGCCAACGCTGACTCACTGACATTAGTCCCACAAGAAGAATCCTCTATTTCTTCACAACAGCGATGTCCAACATTAGTCACGTAGTTCCCTTTTAAATCCCGCGGCTGCGTGTTTTTGTTACCGCGGCAAAGGAGCCATATACAGGAAGACCGGACTAAGTGGGGGGGCGTGCACTGGCACGGCGGTTGGTACCTTGCAGCCCTCGCAGGCGCTGACTCCATAGTGGTACCCTGAGGACTTGTCCTGGCAGACGAAGCAGGGCTTGTAGATGCGGGGCGGAGGCGGGGGGGAGGCCGGGCTGGGGACGAGCAGGTCCTCTCCCGAACTCGTGCTCTCCGTCTCTATGGCTGCAGGGATTGGAGGGAGGGAGGGAGGGAGACACCTTTTCGTTAGGACACCGACATTTACCTCTGGTCTGTACGTCACATATTTAAATATAGCATCTATTTGTTGGTCCTCAGTCAAGGCTCCATTTAGCCTTTTTGTGAATGTGCAATGCAACCCAAGAGGAACCCCCCCCCCCCCCCGCCTGCCCGCCTTCTCCTCTTTTTGCAGTCACCTTACGCAGCGCAGATGTTCCATCATTCGATTGTTTGTCCATTGTGGTTAATGTCAGGAAAGTTGATTTAGGTGCCATGTTTGGGACAAATTGCATCTATATTAATACATTTGTTATACAAGAAAAACTACATTGGTTAAAATACAACATGTTGGGTGACGGACACACAGACTCTAAATGAACTCTTGAACACAGAATCAGAACCGTGGACATGTGCGCTTTGTGCGGGAAGCAGAGACGCTGTCCTTTACTGCAGCGTCGGGCCAAGCGCTTACGTTTAACTAAAGAATCTGTTACCTTGGTGAAATCATTTAGGTTGCACTCCACTGCAGGAATATGTGCTTTGTGCTCGTTGTTATATCATTGGACTGTAATCCGATCCAAACCCTAATCTCTTAATCACGTTTCTCTGGCGAGGTGGAGATGGAGGTTCTGGGATATGATGCTGACAGTCAAATGAGCTGCTGTGGTTGGATTAAACCTTTTAAATTAAATGAATCTTTGTTCAGAGAAGCATTCGCCCGGCTACTCTCGTCAGTTCAAGCTGAGGTCGTGAAAGTCATTTTATATTCATCCTTAACTTCATTTCCATTTGGTTTTAGTCAACTTTCATTTTTATTAGATTTATTAGAATTTCTTGCAGCAGCTTCATTTAGTTTCGGGGCGGATGTCTCAGCGTCTCCGTGCCTTTTATAAAATCCCTTCTTAGTTGTTACGCTGTCCAACTGGTGCTTGTTTGTGTACTTTCCTTCTATTGGCAGTCGTTCATCGAGCGCAGGCTTTGCTTCTTTGTTAGGAGACGAGTCAAAGACCGCGACCCATTTTAAGGTGACCCTTCAGATTAAGATACCAGCCACATCTCCTGAACTAAGCACACACACACACACACACACGTCTCCCCTCCCCCTGCTTCAGTCACCATACCAGACATTCCACTACGGAGTAGATTCAACTCCCCTCCACTGGTCTGCTCTGTTTACATAGAGAGAGGGGGAGACCCTCCTCCTCCCCCCCTCAGCCATCATACCATCCCTCCATCTTCCCTTCTCTGCACTGTTTGTCTTTGCGCTCCTCTCACTGACATGCGAGCCAACAGTTCTCCTTCCAACTCCTCCTTGTTTTTGTCGGTGCACCTCTGAGTCTCCTCCTGGCGTCCGGGGGCCTCGTTCATCCAAACCAAAGTACAGCTTGTATCTTTTGTTTGGGAGAGAAGACTTTTATACCCTTTGTTTCATGTAGTTGTGATGAGGTATTTAAAGGGGGCCTTTGGATTGTGTGACATACTGCCGGTTTGGGGAAACACACCAACGTGCGGCCGGAAGGCTTTTCCGATAGCTGAAAGAAAAGATCACGCAACGTCATCACGTGCCGATTTCCATCAGCAGTCCATTTCTGAGCGTTCACTTAAACTGATATTGATTTTCTTCGTAGGTGTGTAGAACCGGTGTTCCCCCGTCTGCTCCCGAGCTGGTGACCCCTGACCTTTTAGTCTTAGCTAACGCACGTGGCGTCCTCACTGTGGAGCACCGGTAGTACCTCATACGCCCCAACTTCAGCACAACCGAAGCGCATCAACGGCCTCACGCCTCAGTCAAAACAGGGAGAACAAAATATGGATGCTGATAAATAATCATTTGGTGCAACATGTGGAGAGATTCGTGAGAGGTGTAACTGCGTCTCATACAAACTAAGTAACAACGAAAACATTTAGTGAAATCCCTCTGCATCCCCACAGCGGTGATGTTAGAAACCAGCCGTAGATATTAGGGAGAGAAGTGCGGCTCTTTGAAGAATATGTTAAAGCAAATGAGCCTTTACCAGCTGAGACACCTGTGTGATGTATAATGACGCAATGCATAATTAATTATAATTCAGTAATATAGAACTATATTACTCAGACGTGGGTCATTTTGAATAATGGTACATTGAATATAGAAATTGTTTCTAATAATGTACTTTTACTTGAAAGCAGGACTTGTACTAGTATATTTTAAAATAATAGTGCTACTTCTAAAAAAATAAAAGCAGCTGAGTAGACAACGTCCTCCCCCACCAGAATAAAGTTTCACGTTGGTTTCATTATATTTCACAATTTAAAATGGTATGATGTGAAGTTAATAAACTGTTGAAACAACAACTTTAATAGGCAGATAGATGTCGTCCTTCTGGAATGCATCATCGAATGCAGCTAGCAGCGAATGCTGAACCCGATCGGGATCAGTGGCCGCCGCCCTACACGTGTCGGGGGGGTCGGGGCGAGCAACTGTAAATCCTAACAAGGCCTTATTGTGATACGTTAACTCTGAGCTCACGGGTCAACTCCGGCCCAAAGCCAGAAATAAAAAGCTGTTAAAACCTTTTTAAAATGCCCTGGGCTCTGCTGCGGTGGCCAAGCGCGCCAATCCGTGTCCTCGTGTCAGTTCACGCCGGTGAGTGTTAGCCGGCGATGGCGTAAGCCGATTCTGCCAATGGCAGCGCGCCAGCTGACCGTCTGTGAGCGGAGGGCGGGCTCTCTCGACTTAGGGGACGGCCTCCGACCACAACAGCGAGTAGCGTCCAAATGTAGACGCTTTGAAGTCCCGCTGACAGCCGATGACTTCCTGCTAACTTCTGTACATTCAACAAACTAACAAACACATTCATCAAGCGCAGGGACTTGGACCAATTCGAGAGTTGGGCAAACCAGGTCATCAAAGCATTTTCACCTCAATTTCTTGCTGCTTTCTAGCAATTGTACCATCAAGTTACTATTTGGGCCATCGTCTATTAGCCAAATGCTTAATCCATCATTGAATATTATATTTTTTTCTCAGTAGCCACTGTACAGTTTTTTTCCCATTGTTTGATCTGATGAGTTTCCTGATTGTTCATCTCACCTCAGTCCAAATCGGATAGAATTTCTGCCAATAAACTATTGTATCATAATCAACTATTTTGTGTTGTTACTTTAAGCTATTCATAGTTGGGATTTAAGTAAAATAATGGGTGAAAGAAGATGCCGTAATTTTATTGATACAAAAATCTCTTCATCCAACTTGAATTGTGTTCTAATTTATTTCGAGCTGTCGTCAGAAGGTAAAACGTATTTGAAATATCCATTTATGTTGCTTTGGAAACATCTAGCTCCATCCCTCCTTATGGTTATTAAGCACACGGTTACTTGCATAATTGCCTTTCTGGACATATTGGCTAATCCATGCATACATTACTGCAGTAGTTTTATAAAGTAAAAGATGACAAAAATGGCCTTTAAACGGGTGTATTTAGTCCATCCCTAGTTTCACATCTTCTTCAATGCAGCATGATGTTTATCCAGCAAATTATGCCCAATTAATAATTTAGTAGACGCAAAATATGCTTTTTGGGGGCGTGGCTAACTCGTGATTGACAGGAGACCACCAGAGCAGTCTATCTCGCCTCCACATATGGTCACGTACCTTCACTAGTTGCAAAAAGAACTAAGAAGGCAACCACTAAAATGCCAAACTCGAAGCACCAATGAAACCACATCACAAGATTATGTCCACTTCCTACATAAAACAGTAGCCTTGACAAATAACCCCTATATTTCCATCTCATCCCTGTTTGCTCTCCAATCCACATGCATTGGTGTATAAATTAATGTTATTACCACAGAAAGTTTCCACCTTGAACATCTTGTGAAATTTCACAACCCCATCAGTAATTCTACACGGTACCACGACAGCCGCTTCGGTCTCTCCTTGATCCCGTCTCTAATAAATACATACGTTGTGGAGATGTGACATGAGAGAAGAAGTTCCGCCCGAGTCCAACAGAGACAAGGACGTGCCATGCCAGAGGAGCAACTGAATTAATAACTTTCCACTGGCGCTGTTTTAGCAGTTATCTGACGATCTGCGCACACACACACACGCACACACACACACACAAAAAAAAGGAAAAAAAGACACCTAGACGCAAGCACCCGGCCGGCCCTCCTCCCCCCATTTCACACACTCACACTCAGGTCAAACTTGGTCAGTAAACCCTCACATTCCCAGACAAACCGCGAGTGTGAGCGAATGTCGTGTGTGTGTGTGTGTGTGTGTCCGGCAGACTGAAAGGAGAGGTCATTCAGGGCGGAGAAGTGATGACTGGGCAGCTGACACACGAGAGAAAGAGGCCGATAGGAGAAATGAAGAGAGGGAGAGATATAGGTCACTTCCCAATAGTCGGTGACTCATAGCACTGGATCACACACACACACACACACACACACACACACAGCGAACCCACTATCCTAAGGCTAATGTGTGCGAGTGCCCGCGTCTCTGTAGGACCTTTGACCTTTGAACCGGTATGGTGCGCTCTTCATTCAAGTCACGCACAACCCCCCCCCACCACTATACACAAACACACTGAGGGCAAACCTTCCTTGTCTTTACGGCTGGGATTTACGAGCACTCCCCTCTCTCGCTCTCCCGTATTTATGACTTCAACTCGGTCGTAGAAGGCCCCCCGAGTCCGGTGGTGACATCACTGCCTCCTCACCGCCCGGTTACTGTTTCACACCGGGGCTGGCGCCAGCATGCCACGCCGGTGGGGGGGGGGGCTCCGTTTGTGTGTGTTAACTATTGCGATGGACGGGGCGACCCAGTCCAGGGTGCATCGTGGCTGCAGGGCAACGCATGCGGGAATCGACACTTCCACCCCCATCCGTTACCGCCCTTCACAATAAAAGCTCTGGACATATAACTGTTTACCTGAGGGAACTATAAAGCTATAAAAGAGCAGATCGCCAGACGCTGCTCCTGGGGAATTCCACTCAAACGTTTCTTTGAAACAGTACTGCAACTGTCGCAAAATTGCATCGCTGCCGGCCTGAATTATTGTGATTTGATGTATGAAAGGCAAGTGTGTACAAAGACTGACTCTCATACACTGAATAATATGCCTGAAACTAAGTGTCTCATGGATTAACAAGCCAAAACAAAAACGGATACTGTTACACCAATTTGTATGATGCCATTATCAGCTCATAATGTACAAAAATCAAATCATCAGAGCTAATGTTTCTTATTTTTAAATGTAATAATCATCTCGTATGCCCTCTACTTCCACGGCAAACTGGAAACTAGACTTGGGTAGATGAATTGATGATCCAAAGGGTAGCGAATGCATTTCCCCTCACTCTTCTCAATAAGAATGGAGCAAACGTTTGGGCTCTGAATCCGTCTAACGCATATTAAGCCTGCTCGGTAAGCAGGTGAGGCTCACTCATCCACCGCTGGGCAGCAGAGAGGTCAGGGGGCGCGAGGGCTTGGATTTGGGAGTCGAGCGCCTGGCAGCTGCTTGACCTGCTGAGGTCAATCAAGTCGCGCCACTGAAAAACATAAACCCAAACCCTCACACTGCAAAACGCACACACACAGCTACATTCCTGACCGGCTGGCAAAAGCACGCCGAGTGCAGCATTTAAATAAAACATGTTTTTTTTCCCCATGTAGAAGTATCCATTTGCTGACAACACAACCAGCTTGATGAACCAACAACCAGCGCACAGAAGAGACACTTCTTCTTACTACAGTTTAATACGGTGGGTTTGTTTCCCATCACACGCAGGTTAACAGTGGACAGAAAAGAGGCCTTGGGGCACCTGGAACCAAGTTAGAGAGGGAGGGGGGGCTGGCAAGCGACCCCCCCGCCCAAACTTCCAACAAATCCCCCCAGCAACAACTACCCCGTGGACTAGCTGCCCTGCAGGGGCTCGTCACTCACAGTGGCTGGATCCACTCCAGTGCCGGCCGCTCACCAGGGACCCTCCGAACGGGCGCTGGAGCCCCCCCGCGCCGGACAGCAGCCCCTTCTCCGGCCCGAGCCCCGGGGGGCGGTGGTAGTAGTCCATGCTCAGGAAGGAGCCGGGACTGGGGCTGCTCGGGTTGGGGCTAAAAGCCACAACATCCACGCTTTCGTACATCCCCCGAGAGGCGAGAGGCGCCCTTTGATCTCGTCGTACCAAATTGCCGTTGCGCGTGGAGGGAATGAGGGGGGAGGGAAGAAAAAAAAAGATCAAAGCGTCCCGACGAGGAAGAGAGAAAGAGGGAGGGAAGAGTTCACATCTTCATAACGGACTGTTGTGAGGGGGAGGGGGGGGAGGAGGGGGGGGCCGGTCCCGGTGACCTCTCGGCCGGTTTAGTGTCACGCGCTGCGCTCCCTGTCGTTTTTCCTTTTTTTTTGGCCCGACCGGAAGTTTAGACCCGGCTGTTGTCTTTGTCGCCTTGTTTCGATTCGCAATCCAAACGCTACAAGTGCCTCGAAGTTTACGGCCGCGTTGATTGCAGCAGCAGCCGCCGTCGGTACTTGAAGCGAGGAGGTCACGCTCCTGCGGGTAAACGCGCCCTCTGCGTCTCTGCGGCGGTTCACCGGTTGTTGTTGTTGTTGTTGTTGTTGTTGTTTTTGAGTAGAGGAGGATATTATGTAATTGTCATGTCGCTTGCTAATCCCTGTAGCCAGAGCCGCGGCGAACGCTCCATTTAGCGGACGAAAACGCTTCTTCGTTTCACCACCAGTACAGTCTGTCCTTAAAACATCCGCGCGTGCTGTAAATGAACGCGGCTTCCCCCGTAACGTCCCCAAACACCACAGAAGAAAAAGGCTGCTCGCGCTGTATTCCGTTCGTTCCGGTTCACACGGTGCAAGCGCTCACGAGACAAACAGCTCCTGAACACAATGACGCTGAATGCGCGCGGTCGCGTGCGACTCTGAACTTGCTGCTCTACGTCGGAGCGGCTCGGGGACGCGCGCCTCGGTGGCTGGTTGTTGAGGTCCAGCAGCAGCGCGTTCCGCAGTGTCCTGTGGTACCCTCTGGTCTGTACCCGACGGCCCCTCTTCCTCCCTCTCTCTCTCCCTCTCTCTCTCTCTCTCTCTCCCTTCCTCTCTCTCCTTTGATGAGTGACGCCAGCTGCGCGCGAGCTCCACCTATCTGCCCTGCGCGAGCCTCCAAAATGCCTACTTTCAAAACGTGGCTATTTCTGGCGGCTGTGAAAAACACAGAAAAACAACCAGTATTTGTAGGGCGGCTGTTACTGCTGGATGGTATTATCATGCTTGTCAACAATTACCTTACAGTTTGTAACTAGAGTGTTTCCCCAATTCATAAAAAAATTAACTAATTTATTTATTTATTTATATTTTTACATTTATTAATATATACCCAGACGAGACTGAACTACTTCTCTTTCTGGGAAAAGATTCTTCTACACAGGACTTGACGGTTAACTTTGGCAACTCCGTGCTAACGCCCACTTTGACCACTAGGAACCTCGGCGTGACACGTGACAGCCAAGTCTCCCTGACTCCCAACATCACAACGCGATCCTGTAGATACACGCTCTACAACATCAGGAGAATACGGCGCAGGTACTGATTCAGGCTCTTGTCATCTCACACCTGGACTGCTGCAACTCCCTCCTGCAGGTCTCCCTGCCACCGCCATTCGACCTCTGCAGCTCATCCAGAATGCAGCAGCTCGACTGGTCTTCAACCTTCCTAAATTCTCCCACACTACTCCGCTCCTCCGCTCTCTTCACTGGCTACTGGTGGTGACTGGGTGCTCACGTACCGTGCTGTGAATGGATCGGGTCCAGCTTACATCCAGGACGTGGTCCAACCCGACATCCCGACCCGCACTCTCCGCTCTGCACCTGATAAACTGCTCGTCCCTCCCTCACTGAGAGCAAAACTTAAAACTGAGTTTGTATCCTTATGGTTGAACGCACTTATTGTAAGTCGCTTTGGATAAAAGCGTCAGCTAAATGACACGTAATGTAATATTGAGGCCCATTATGTACCTTGTGATTGCGTATGTTTCCTCAACTGATGCATGCTGTAAATCCTCTACGCATCATCATTGTTTTAAAGCATTTCATATATACATATAGATACAGCATATAGCTCTACAATTGATCAGAAATACATTCTTTAGGAGAGTAAACTACAAATATACAAAAAAAGAGTATGTGGCTGAAAATAAACTTTGAATAGTATTATTATTTGTTTACCCTTAAATATGACCGCCCAACATATGTATGCGGTACAATTAAATTCAAAATATTGCTTGTTTTTTTTGTACATAAAGAGTCCCATTAGCGCTCGTTCATGTGTCATCGATTTTAACACGTCTAGTAAACCCCGTGCCACTCACGTGCACACTCACACACACACACACACACACACACACAGCTCAATCCTTTGCTGTAAGTGAGCCGGTGTCCTTGCTGTCAGGCCTCCGTGTATTGATTAGCTGCTGGTTGAAATATGAGCGGGGAAAGGGGAAACACATCCCATTCATTTCTGTCTGTTAATCAATATAAGACATTAAATGTATGGCGGCCAAGGAGGCAGGGGAGAGGTGAAAATGGGTTTTGGGGGGGGAACAGTAGCAGCAAAGAGAAAGATGAGGATGAAGATGGGAATGAGGGTTATGAGGTTAAGGAGCACAATGAGAAAGTGTTGAGAGATTTCCAGCTGGTCCCAGTCTAAAGGAAATTATAGAATAAATGAACTATGAGCTGGAAAATTGTTGCACAGTGACCAGTCACTCTTTACACCTGCCATATTTGTACATAGATCTTTACAACACTGATCTCATACGTGATGTTTATCACCGTGAGGCAAAAAAATGTGGACTAGGACGTGGAGTGACGGGTCGGTGAATCAGCCTGCCGTCAGCCGCGCTGCGTGTGGGCATGCAGGCAGATGTGCACAGCTGTCCCTCAAAAATATTCACGTGGCTTATTCTTTTATAATTTCATGAATTTTGGTTTGTTCTCAACTCTTTTTACCAGTCGTGCAAGTGGTGTGGTTTGAAAAGATAACACATTTGTTATTATTGACCCACAGCCCCACTCATCCTTTAGAATGGCATTGTGTAAACCGCCTTGACCACACACACACACTGCCAAGCCTCTCTCACACCCAAATACTCAACTCTAACTGCGTCTCCCGCGTCAAATCGTCTTCCGCCTGGACTTTTTTGCTTTCTTCGCGCTAATCCGCACTGTGGTTTAGGTGGAAGATACAAAACAGACTTGTTGACTGGCAGGCCAAAGTAGAGACTAACCGACTGAAGATACAGACGGCACTTTTCTTTCAGCTCAGTAAGCAGAGGTTCAGGAAATGTGTGAAAGATGGGGTGTGTGGGGGGCAGAGTAGCGAGAGGATGGATGGATGGGTCATGTGGCGTGGGGGGAGTGAGAAGGTGTGAGAAAGAGTCACATAAACATTTGATGAGATAAGATTTGTACCCACGCGACTGTCGAGTAAACAGGATGATCTGGAGGATGGAGTCCAGCCAGCGTCTACCAGCTGGCCCCACAAAAGCCTGTGAGATGCAGGTTTGTATCACAGTTAGCAGTTAGTACATTTACATTCAAATATTCAGTCTTCATTAAAACTCTATGTAGTTCATCTTTTTTTATAGGACATTTTTGGTTTCTGTCCGTTTTGTAAACTTCCATCTTCACAGGAGTTTAGGTTCAGGAAAATAACATGTAGCAACTCACATGATTACTAAATGGCCAATGCTGACGTAACTTGTGTGAGTCCAAGCAGGTGAAGACAGGATATAAAATGATGTTTCCACACACTCAACTATATATGTTTGCAATAACATTGTTATATGCTGAAAAACATGTCTCAATCTGTAAGCAGTTGCTTGTAGTTGGCGCTGGAAGCGAGTCGGTACTGGTTGTACATTTGTCACCAGAAACCTTACTTGCGATGAATCATCCGGATGGTCCATAAAAATGTTTGCAAATCGACTTTAAAAGCGATGATTTGTCACAGTTGTGTAAAAACGTGTCTTCTGCTGCCCCAAGCGGAAAAAACATCTGTAAATGTGCGTTTGATGAGTAAATTAACAGCGAACTGTTAACCGTATGGATGTGGTCAGAAGTGTTGAACAGCGAAGCCCCTGTGTACTAACACGTTATATCGCTTCAATAAGCAGAGAAGTAAAAAACACAGGAGGTTAGCAAAAAACAATTAAGTCTCTATTTAAGCCATAATAATAAAAGGTTATTGCTGCAAGGCGAGGGAAAAATCTCAAAAGCAAAACCAACCGCTCTTGGACGTGACATTAGTGTGCATCGCTGCAACAATTGCCCTCGCAGCGGCTCCACTTACAATGATCTCACGCAATACTGCACCAATTAAATACATTTTTGTCTCCATTAGTCAATTAGACACAAAAACACGGGGAAATGCTGGAATACAAAATACTAAAGTTGCCCTTTAAATATCGCAATACAATTCTTCCCCAAATGGCTAACCACAATGTTTACAGATGGATTTTGTAAATTTAGAACAAACCGTCCATAGAACCATAAACAGAGGAGAGAATGTAAGAAGTGAAAGGATGCAAGGAGACACCGGGGAGTTGCGAGGAAAGGCAGAAGGGAAAGGAGCGGAGATCAAAGGCGGGATCCCGCTGATGGAAATGCTGATAGTAACTGTCTCTGCTCCATTATTCATCAGACAGCTGTGTTGTAAGTAGGTTAGCCTTTGCAGCGAGAAGGAGAGAGCGAGATGAGGAAGGGGAGACTGCTGGAACAGAGGGATAATGAGAGAAATAAAGAAGGAGCAAATTAGAATTGACAGACGAGATAATTCACACGGAGTGACTGAGGCAGGATGGAGGGGTAGATACGAGGAAAGAGTGAGGGAGAGAAAGAGTGGTGGATAGACGGAGAAAGGTAAAAATAGAGGTAAAAAGACAGAGATTGGTAAAGAGAGAAGGCTCCATTCTCTTTTCCATTCTATGGGCCTATGGGTAAAAGAGTGTTCACACACACTTTGCATGAAAGGAGGCGTTTATGGTTGACGTCACACATGATAAATCATAAATGATCATGCAATGTTGGAAGGAAAGGGAGCATTTACAGGTCACGCAGAACACGTGTGACCTACTGCACAGTACATGCCATGTAAAGTCGGCCGTTGAGACATGTAGTAGATGCCACCCACCTTGGAATGACTGCAAAGGCCTTCCTATACTTTCAGGGCGTAATGCCACTAAAAGGATTGCGGGGACGGGCGACACCTATCATGTAAAGTAACTTGAAATTTAAATTGTGAATTGGGACCCGTGAATTGGAACCCAAGTCGTCTTGACGGTGCTTCCCTTTGTAAGCATGCGTCTGTGTTGTACCGTCAAGGGCCTTCAATGCTCCCATATATCATAATATGGAGGCTGGACAGAATCGGTTTAGGATCGGCTGCCCTGAAGGGGGGAGATTTGTGTGCTGTCCCTTTCTCAGTGGGCCCTGTGGCTGAACCTCCCAGGCCTCAGTGATCAGGCAGAGGTCATGGATGCAGCGTATGACCCCGCCCAGGGTCTCTTCGGTTAAGCCCCTGAAAAAATGAGGCAGACCATCAGAGGAGACACAGAGGTGACGCCGTTGACCTCTGCTTCCCTCTGCACGTGTCCCCACTACAGCAGCACCATGCAAACAGGGCTTCCCCTGACGATTATTTTCTTACTGAATACTCCAACACTTATTGTATGGATTCTTCCTGAAATTTACAATTTCTTTTATTTTTGATTAATACCACAATTAATGTACCCCAAAAAACATGAGAAAATCATGTGATATTTCAATATCCCTCATCTAACTATTTTCTTAAGAACAAATATAGGCTTTAGTTTTTTTCCCTCTCTCTTTGTAAACTATTGAGTTGACAAACACTTCACAGCAGGTGCTAGTTCAAAGGTCAAGTCTGCATATGTTTAAGAGCAATGGCGCTGGAAATGGGTAGGGGACAGGAAAAGGGTCTTCTGTTACACACCAACTCCCCAATTTCAGCTCACGTTCCAGTTTTGGCGCCGCGGCCTTTGTGATCCCAT